GAGCAGACAAACACCCGTTTGAACATCGACAAAGCGGAGTGTAACAACCATCTGGGTGCCCAAATTTTCACCTGCCGGTCTACCACCTTCCGTACGTGAATCTGGGTCGGGCACAGAAGCGGATGATATAAGGAGAGCAACAAGTTCGTCAGAATGCTGTCGTATAACAGTGAACTTTGTGAAACGAGAAGCCAAAATCCAAGAGGTCGTAACGATGAAACGTCTGCCAGGCCAGTTATGTCCAATTCCACCCTGACCGGAGACAAATTTATCCGGACTGCGGTATTCAGCGTTGATACTGGATGCCAGTTGACGCCATCTAAGGGTAAACACAGGTGCAAACAGCATGGGAAGTTGTGATTACCTTAACACACATCTGTCGAAACTTTCTGAGAATGATAGTATACATGAGTAATTTTCCGTGGGTATTTCACAGAGAACTGGTAAATTCAAACTGCGATTTTATACAGAAAATGAACAAGTAATAAATTTCAAAGCTAGGCCGTGTCACCTATGATTTCTGGCCTTGGGTTAAATACCAAGTGAGATTGGTGAATAATCTGAAGCTAAAGATTACCGGGCAAACATAAAAGAACATTGATGCTAGTGTAAATGTTAGGCTGGTAGAATCGATGTGGTTGGCGTTAGTAATTAAGCATTGGGAGTGTAAATAGAAAAGAACAATGTATTGACATGTGAATTAAGAAAATGCGGGAATCAGATTGTCAAACGAAACCGGAAGGAGGAGGGAGAAAAAACTATCAAATTGGTTCCTGCTTCACGTGGCCATGGTAACACAAACGTTTGCACAAGGTTGAGCCGCATGCACAATTCAGGTTACATGACCGAAATGTTACCAATTAAGACAAGGTCAGGAACCTCTTGCCTAATCAAACTTCAGCTTGAACTTCACTGATTACTGCCAAACTCATACTGAATACGAGGTAAGTGAGAACGTGTAGGGAGGATAGGGATTGGGTCTGTTTCGAGGGACGGGAAAAGAAAGCGAAACTCCATGTTCAATACACAGAGTACACAATCGGACTGTGCATACATACTATTTCAAGCATTCTGGTCTGATAAGTAGTGACAGCAAGATCACCATTGCTGTCGGTTCGCAGCCTTGACCTTCAGTGCCTCCAACCATGCGGTTACGGAGTCTTTTTGACCCAAACCCGGAAGAAAAGAGACACCTACTCTACCTAATCGCTCTCTGCATTTCTTCATGCCTCGTCTCCACGTGGCTTTCTCTAGCCTTCAAAAGCCACTGCGAATACGGTGCGCTACGGTAGGCGACCGTCGGATATACGGAAAATGTGTGCTAACCAACGGAGCCCATTAAACTGAATTTGATGAGATAGCGTGTTCTTGTTTGATGCATTCCCAAACACCCGACGGCTTACTTCTGGAGTGCTAACCCGCTCACTCCATCCCACTTTCGCCAGACTACGTGAGAAACGACTGACAAAGACCACTAGACGACGGATGTTTTCTAACCGCAAATTCAAGGTCTCACAACCGTAAAGAAGAACTGATAGTGCAATGGCGCAGTATACGCGACTTTTCAACTTCAGTGAAACGTCACATCACGGCCACTGGTGCTTCAGTCCTGCGTACGCATCCCGAGCCTTGGAAATGCAGGTGGTTATCTCCTTCGGTGCGCTACCGTCGTCGGTCACGCAGCTACCTAAGTACGAGAAGCAGTCAACTTCAGCCAATTTCTGACTGTCCACTATCTAAGACATTTTGTAGGATAGAGCAATCGCCATAAACACATTTTTCTTGTTTCTGTTCACAGAATTTACACGTTTGGAACTTACACGTCTGTATCCTATTTCGCCTGTTCGCCAAGCTTGGCAA